TGGTGGAAGATTACTGGAGTGCTCTGTGATAGGTGCATGCCAATTTACTTAAAATCAAAAGTGTATAGAATGATGGTTCGCCCAGTAGCACTGTACGGCGCTGAGTTCTGGCCAACCATCAAAAGTGCTGACCTTCTACATGCCATGGAGATGTGCATTGGTCTGTTGGTCATTAGGCGTCTCCCTTCTTGACCATGTCAGCAATGATACAGTCCAGCAGCAGATGGGCATTGCACCAATAATAGAGAAAATGTGGGAAAAACACATACAGTAGTATGGCCAGATCCTATGAGCAGCACCTCATACTGTCACCTGTATTGCCAACCATTGACGGCAAACACCCGTGTGGAAGACAAAAGCAAAGGTGGCAGGGTACAATTGACGTGGACATGAAGATCACCCAGTTGGACTGGTGGCTGCATTGGATCATGTGAAATGGCATTTGTTGATCTGAAAAGTGGACCCTGCACTTGTGGAAATATTTTAGGAAGAAGAATAGCTGGCCAGCGATTACTTATTAGGAATTTGATTGTGAATGTACTGCAGTAAATAACCATACAACCTTTTTATTTTGCAGCCTACACTCCATTTAACAAAAGACTGAAACATGACATTTAACTTCTCCCACAAAAGCAGTACTATAACTGGCCTGTAACACATTCTTGCACTATAAACATGAGCAATAAAGCACGTGTGGCCTTTCAAACACCTACTTCTCCAGTAGTTATTGCACTAGGCATTTGTGTCCGGCACACAACAGAGAGATAAACATTACAGATATTGCTGTGGAGCAAACAATAGAGTTCAGTACACTGGAAATTTAAGGCGCTCTAATGTAGCTATAGACCCAGAGGCTTTACCCAAGTAGTAACCCTTTCCTGTTTCTTTCCATATTTTCTTAGTGAGATATGCCTGGATCCTCTGATGGCATGAAATGTTTATAATCAGTACAGCTGTCAAGGGAAATAATTGATAGTTTCTGTGACAAATCATCAGTATGATTGGGAGTGCAACCTCATAGAGCAGCATTTCTCAACTGGGGTTCTAGGGAACCCTAGGGTTCCACAAGAAGTCAGTAGGGGTTCTGCAAGAGATTGTCATTGAAAAAAATAAACTCTTTTAAAAGATTTTGTGCACTATGTAATACTATATTTTTTATGCAAGGGTTCCTGGAGACCTGAAGATTATTTCATGGGTTCCTCTGGGGTAAAAAAGTTGAGGAAGGCTGTCATAGAGATTCTAAAGAAAGGTGCAGCTTCTGGAACAAGCTGAAGATTGGAAAAAGATCCCAGGTAATATAAAAGTAGAGGGCAAAGCATTTTATAAAGAAACTTTATTTGAACTGATTTGTTAGTTATTTTGTATCTGTTCTGAAAGCAATATACTACAATATTGACTCAAAATTTAAAAAGGAGATTCTTATCTCTGTATTCTAATGCATTTTCAACTAATTCTTATGTAGTAGCTCTGCCTTAAATACTATACTTACTTTTTAAAAAAGATTAATAAAGCAACTGAGTTTTGTATTGTTACTTTAAGTGAGGTCTCATCATTTGTGGGATTTACTTTCATCAAGTCCCTAATGACGATGGATCTAAATATATTTCCAACATATAAGTCTAACCCTTTCGGAAGAGGGCAACTCCCTCAACATACAGTAGATTTAATTTAGAGTGAAGAATAATTTACCAATAATGACTGTGTCTTGTTTCGGACAGATTTTGTTTGCTAGCCTTCATTCAGCCAATTACCTTAGCTCAGCACCAATGTGAGAGACTCAGGCTCTCTTATTTGAAAAAGATAAATAGAGTTAACAGCCTTCTGATGCCACACATCAGACCTTGAATGATTCACTTAATGGCCTCATGTAGCTTAATTAATGAGGGGTAAGATGGAGCTCTCTTTCTCTGTAGGAACACTCAAGTGAAGAAGCTATGAAATTGAAGTGTAAATCACCAATGCCATCTTCTGAACTGTCATCCAGTTTTGTTATGTTCATTTTTGTGTGTGAAAAAGTAAATACACCCCACTGAAATGTCTGACTTTTTCAACAGAGATATTTGATTTGTTTTTCTACATGCAAAATTTGCATTTATGTTTATTTAAATTACACAATGGACTATAGAATGTAAATGTTGCATATTTGTTATATCCCCATTATCCATCAATATTGTTGAAATGAAGATCAAATATCTGTATGCTGAAAAAGTCAAAAATGTTTTTTTCAAATAACTTTATTAGATTTTAAGATAAGAATAAAAACTAACAAAAACTAATATTGAAGATAAAGAATAAGGAAAGAATGAAAAATAAAAAAGAACAGTCAAAAGTATAAAAAGAAAGTACAAAAAAGAAGTACTTTTCAACTTTCCTCACAAGGGATAAGTATCAATTTACATTAAACTCTTACTCTAAGTTTACAACATAACTTTCTTTTTTTCTATTATCCAATATTATTTCTAATCATTAAATCTATACATCATAATTTCATTTTTCTGTTTCACACAGAAAGTCCAAAAAAGGCTTCCAATTAGCATTAAAATTACTCAGTGTCTTTTCTCTAATCAAAGCCATCAGCTTTGCCATCTCAGCCAACTCCATCAACTTCACCATCCATTCTTTCATTGTAGGTAATGTCAAGTCTTTCCACCTTTGTGTATATAGAAGCCTCACTGCTGTTATCATGTATAGAAACATAGTTCCATTAAGTTTTTTCCAACTGAACTATCATCTAATTTTGAATGGAATTGACAGAACAATCCTCGCACCAGGAATGTTCCAAATCCAAGTAGCTGCTGCAGAAGGATATTATTGTCGATAGTACCAAAAGCTGATGAGAGGTCAAGAATCAACAGATTCAGCTATTTTTTAATCAACTTACTCATCTATTTTTTCTGACCAGGGGTGACCAATCATGCTTCACATTTCACCCCAGGCTTGTATGTTGATGAAAATGCTTGCCAAAAATTAGCCTCATCACAGATAGCCTAGATCTGATCTCCTATAACACCTTGTAGTTTCTTCTCCACATTTTTCATTGTTGGATAATTATGGACATCTTACAAGAACGACATATACTGAGGCTATAGGCACCATTGTATATGTGTGTGGATTGTTTAAAAAAGATCAAATCATTTCCCCACAAAGAACTGTAATTCTAGTTGATAAAAATTGAAGAAAACATTGTGATGCCTCTAAAATATGGCTGAGAGTTAGGACTGTGATTCATTGTGGATTGCAATTCTGAAAAGGCAAACATAAACTCAGTAGCAGTTCTTGACCAGGTTTGTTGGCATCTCTGAAGAACACCATGTCAGAAAACAGATTTCAGTTGTGATTTGTATTTCTGTTTAAATTCAGTCATGTTTATAAAATGTGCTTTTGGGCTTGCAGAAATTGCTCAGCAGGGATTTTGAGTGGTTTGTGTCTGACGTCCTCTAGACACAGCATGAAGGGCTGATGCAACATGCTACAAAACTGAGACGGAAAGCAAAGGAACAATTGTTCTTTCCTCAGGTTAATACAAAACATATTCAAGGTGACAAATGTATGTGACAAATATACTTACCAGTAAGTTTCCATTGTGAAGGCTATGTGCTGTACGTTGCATCTGAACAAATCCAAAGAAAATGCATTAAAATGAAAATCAGTCCATACATTGTAGATGCGCCTTGCAGCTTTTTAGAAACAGGTTGCAGTATTTCTTTCTGTACTTTTTTAAATAAAGTTTTTCTGAAAATAGTTGGCAATGTATAATAATGCTTAGAATATGGTAACGGGGAGGAAACCTGCATGCTTGAATTCTTAGGCTTCAATTCAGTAAAGTACAAACCAAAGAGAGGTAAAGTCCCTACTCAGTTTATTGAATTAATATAGTAGCACATTGAATGTATACATACACACAGCTTGGGAAAGTGAATGAATTGGGTGAATGGACAGAAGTCCATTCAGCCAGTTACAGAAAAGTTACTTGTCACTTTTTTTAATCTGTGTGCACAAACATATGAATAGCAAAATCTACCTATTAAAGGTGAGGGTGATGAGTTGGCTGTTGTCCTTCCAAAGAATCAAAAGATGCATAATTTAAATCTCAAGTAATGATAGAGTTGAAGACCTAGGTCTCTGGAGAAGGCTATAATGCTGGGAGAGGTGGAAGGAAAGAGAAGAGGACAATCAGCAGCAAGAAGCATGGACTCAGTTAGTGGCAATGGGCACACCATCAGAAGATCTGAAGGACGAAATTATGGACAAATTGTCATGGAGAAAATCCATCTATTTGGCTGCTAAGAGTTGACACCAACTTGATAGCACATAATCAATGATAGTTGGATGGTCTCTTCCAGTATAATTCTTGTACTGGTATATCTTCCTTTGCCAGGTAATCCTCAGATTACAATGGCAATGGGTTGGTGGTGCTGTGGGCGGGTGCTACAGAGTGCAGGTGGACCAGCGGGGGCTGGTCAGTGGAGGCCACAGGCAGGGGGTGTTGCGGGCAGGTGCATGCTATGGAGTGTGGGTGGGAAGGGGCGCTGCAGATGGGTGCACACTAGAGTGTGGGTGGGGGGTGCTATGGAATATGAGATCCAGGCTCCCCAGGAGAAAAGGTGGCGGAAGCTAATTACAGAAGCGACTTGCAACCTTCCCTGCTGGCTTCCCCATTGACTTTGCTTGTGGGAAGCCGGCAGGGAAGGTCGCAAATAGTGATCATGTGATTGCGGGATGCTGCAACTGTCATAAGTGCAAGCTGGTTGCCAAGCGCCCAAATCGTGATCACATGACTGCAGGGGTGCTGCGACAGCCAGAACTTTGAGGACCACTCATAAGTGCCACTCGTTCAGCACTATTGTAACTTTGAATGGTCACTGAAGAAGTGGTCGTAACCCGAGGACTACTTGTACACTGGTGTTAGAGAACAGCTTCAAAAACAGCAGGCTTAGTGGGTTCTGTAAAGAGATTTATCCCTCTAAAGCATCCTCTCTTTCCTTCCTTGGAGGAGGAAAAAAAATTGACCCTTGGAACAAAATTTTGGAATCAGACTCATATTCCTCATGCTTTTCTCCTGACTGAGGGTGACCAATTCTGTTTTACTATAAAATCAAGATTTACACACATGCACTCAAAACATTTTAAGAACATATACTCAGAATGGAATATGGTGAACAAACAAGTGAAAGAGATTCAGCTACAAATACGCATCTATTTTTTAATATTTATTTAGTGCACCAAAACACACGTCATCTTTGATACAAACCTAGCCTCAAATTTAGTGCAACATTAAATTCTGTAATATCCTTTTCTTTCTGAGGGCACTGAACAACTTTATCCTGACTTTTACTCCTCAAGTTCAAATGCATGTTTTATGTCAGTTATGAAGTTAATTTCTTCTGGAGTACATTTCTTGTAAGTTACCTATTCCTAATGTTCCACATAATCACTTCAGTATTATAATGCCAGTGTGACCTCAGTCTTTCTACCATTTGTTTCGCATGAGTGTGATTCGTAAAAATCCCTGGTAGCAACAAATAGAATCTGCTGTTGTCCATTATTCTCCAGTCAAAAATCCGTACAACGCATCTGTAGAAGATGAGCCCATGAAACAGCATATATTTGTCAAAGTTGTGAACAAAACAAGCATATATTTGGGAAAGTTACATAAAAGAGGAAATTTTCCTTTAAAAATGCATTGAGGAAATGTACATTAAATAAACATGCCCTAGAAATTTCACTAAATACACACATTGGGAAAATGTATGTTAAAGCCCACATATGTAACTAATTTTGAGTACAAAAACTTCATATGATAGGGAAAATAGCCGACAACAGATGGAAAGAGATTGTTGAGACTGGAAAGAAAATCCATTAAAAAAAAACCTCTGATGGATCAGAATAGTGTCCCAAAGATTAATGTAGAACACGAATGAACACTGCCCCAAAAGAGCAGTAATAGGAAGACCCTGAAGAACAGCTGGTTTTTGGAACAGATATTTCTAAGGTAGGTAGTCCAGCTGACCTAATATAAAGGCACATTCCAATGTTTCTCTCTGATAATTATGAAGACGTATTACATATTTTAGTTAGTACAACAAAAGCACTAACACTGTTTGTGTGTGTTCGCTTGAATGCTGCAGGATAGAGAGAGACAGGCGTTCCGCACTAATACGCTGCTTAATCAGGAACTCAGGAGTGCATAATACTGTAGTGGGAAAAAAAGGCCAGCAGAAGGCAGCATGATTAATCTTTGAGCATCTGGGCTTCTGACAGAGGATGCCATGCACTAGAAAGGGCTGTGCAGCCAGCCAGCAACTGTCAGCCTAACCCTGGCAGAAAATTCTTTCCTAACTGTGACTAACCTTGTGCTGAAGAAATTTCACATGCTGTATTCCAATGGGACAGTATATGCATCTTACATTCTTTGTGTATATTTAGCATCAAAACCATTATATTTATCATTTTATTCTGTATCGTGGAATAAATTCTTTGGTCTGTCCTCACACCAACACAATATACTTGTAGTACAGTAAATGACAGTACCCTCAAATCCATTTTAGAACTTACAAACTACGTACAAAACACATGCATAACTGTGTGTGAATCTGTGCCCTTTATTCAAGATGTCATTTATTTCCTTTGATTCTATATGCTCGGGAAAGAAGATGCAATCGTTCCACTCAAAATTAGAGAAGTAGCAGGATGACATTGTGCCTTATTTGCATGAGTCTATCCTGTTACTTATTTTTCTCACATCACTTCCATAGGGGTTAATACAGTAGATGAGAAAGGTGAAAGGTTGCAAATAAAGATGGGGGAGAATGGGGAAGCTGAACTCTTGACTCTTTGGTACACCATCCATTAAACTTGGTGGAGTAATTACTAGCCACAAACAAGTTTTGGAAATATTGAGACAATACAGAGTTTGTCAATGTTAAAGAGACAGCTGGCAAAATATCACTAGTAAGATTTTTTTTACAAAATCAGAATTTTAGCAAATAAAACTATTATAAATATTCATTAAGAAACCCACTTCCTCAGTTCATAAAATAATTACTGTAGTTTTAGACATTTTAAAATATATACTGTATACAGCATGTCAATAATGTCAAGAGATGCCCTCAAGGCCTTGGAATCTTAGTATGCCAGTATCAATACAGAACAATACAATGAATTCAGTCTCAATACAATCCAAAGGCAGCTTGTCTCAGATATGGATTAATGTCATTTGATGATATTAAATGCACTAGTCATCTTTCTGTGCATACTGTACTGGAAGTTGCTCTGCCAGACCATGACTGGGAATAACGTTAATGCTTGATCACTGTAAGTTATTTACCTAAAATACACAAGCCCATCTGTCCTGCCTGTCTTGAGAAAAAGTGCTTATTAGCAGTCAGTCTTCTTTCACACCATTAATGAGAATGTGTGTGTGGGGGGGTGGGGGTTGTAGGTACACACAAAGGGTAAGTTGTACTGTTTTAATTTGGAATCATAGGCTTTGTAGCAATTGAAAACTGAGTAATGGGGCTGTTCTATAAGCACAACTCACTATTTACTCATCCAGTGGCAAACTCAGGAAAAAGTGCAACACAGCCCAGCAGGAGTGTAGGGTGACATGAAGCTACCCTTACTCAGACCCAGAGCAATTTCAGTGTCCTTTTAAAAAATTTAAGCTCATGGATAAACACTTAAACAATGTACAGTATATGAACTATTAAAAAAAAAAAAGGCAGAAATCCTATCTGAAGCATGAGGACAGACAAAATTAACATCTGTTTCACTGGACTGTCATCTATTTTTTCTACAGCAAAAGTAAGGGCGCTGTGCTACTGTTACCATTGTACATAAACAGAAGCCACCATTCTAAAAACACAAAGCCTGTGGACAAAAGTCTTAAGCAGCATGTGTCAATTCCATAGGAACATCATCCTTGGCATCTGGAAGAACGGCAATGACACAACGCATCTCATCTCTGAATTCCGAAGCATTACCCTTTTCTTGGAAAACCAGAATATTCCACATAGCAATAAAAGTATTCAACAGTCTCCTCTACGTTTTTATAGTGGAGCAAAGAACCCACTTGTAAACCATCAGTCACAGCAGTCTGACATCTCAGCAACCAACAAAAGATTTCTTTTGCTTAATTAGTGCTATCCGCATGCTGTTTTCCAGATCATGTTCAGTGAATGGTAGTGTTCTTTCAACTGAATACCAGTAACCAGCATTAGTCTGCATCAATGTCCCATCTTCCTTAAGAATATCCTGCCTTTCCTTCCTCTTGAATAGGCTGTGAGGCCTCATGAGAGAGGTGCTTCTTCTTCTGGCTTTCGTAATTCTCTTCTTGACTAATAGGTCCAAAAGTCCTCTTATATCCCCCCAGAGTGCTTTGAGGCTCTCCAGGATCCATGCCATGATATGTATTGATCTCAGCACATTTTTCTTTATACTGGTGAGCATTGCCTGCAAATGTCTCACAGCGGTTTAGGTTTTCCTCTTGCACTGGGTTCCCCAGGCTGTCGTCACTTGCTCCAGGAGACATTGACCCCTCTTGGGAGTTCTGACTAACATAGACAAAAATAATTTCACCTTTAAAATTCATGACTTGTCCACTTGAAATGAATGTAGAGTTCCCATTTCCCGTCACATTTCCTAAAAAGGGTCAGAGCAGAGGGAAAGAGGTACATACACAATTAATAGATTACAACATGTCTGCACTTTGAGAGCTTAAACATCACAGTAAGAGGATCACAACCAGTCAATATTCCAAGGAAGGACGTAGTTTGTGCAAAAGTAAAAACTGATATCCCAAGCCAACATAAACTGGAGATAAAATATTGTCTTTATAAATCTTGCGTGCATTTCTGGAAATTTTCATGTTCAGATTACTCTAGTAGATTAATGGGAATAGCCTTCATAAGTGCCAAAATGAGATATTTTCAACTTATACCCAAACAAGCAAGCACTTCTGCTATAGGTAAATGGGTATAATGCTTCTGTAACACTACTGAAACACCTAATCAAAATTAGGATATTGGCAATATATTGTAGCTTTGCATGTTCTGCCAGTTAGCATTATTTTGGCACCAAGTTTGCATAAATCACACTTAAGTCATAATATGCTTAATTTAGTTTTAATTCAGCATGCTGTGTGAACCCAGCAAGTAAATTATAGTTTATGGTTTGGTTTGTTGTATGAATTAAGCCAATTGTGGTTTAACTAATTATCTGTGGCTTAATATAATGTGTTATATTTCGATTGGATAATTTATAATATAATTGGATTCCATTTTGTTCTTATGATGATGAGCATTAAAAGCAGAGAACACAGGACAGACACAACATGCAAAGCCATGTAGTATTTTGTTCTGTTTTAGCTTAGTGTGTTATATTAAACCAGCCACTGTTGATTAGTGAAATGTATCAACACGCTCATTTGCTTAGCTCAGAAAAGAGAACTGTTGTTGGGGAACACTTGAGCCCCCTGATCATCTAACTGCTATTAAGACATCAATCAGTGTTACATTTCTGCACTGGACTCTAATGATCCTATGTTGGAGAAAACTCTTATGAAGAATTGGTTCCCTGCTTCTTATTGAAGTGTACATTTCCATTAGCTGTAGAAAAAAGGAGGTGATTCCCATATCTAAAGAATATAGAAATTCTGTCATAGCATATATATACACACACACACACGCTGATGGAATCAAGGTAGCAGAACTAGCTTACAGTATAGTTCTGCCTATGCACAATTTTTTTTAAAAGAAATGACTTTCAATCAATATCAAGACTGCCATATTTTATACATGCAGAAACAAACTACTGATCCATAAGATTGTATATTTAAATTTCAATTATAAAATAAATTATGAAAGGGAAGTTCCCACAAAGCAGACTGAGAATTAAGAGGAAAAAAAGACAACTCCAAATTCACATTGCCTGTGTTCAAGCAAGCTAAACTATGGACTGTGGAATAAATTGTAATGGCTTGATTTGCCCAACATACTAAGCCACAAACAAGGAAACTATGTCATGGATTATAAAATTGGCATGAGCCTAGTCAAAGCAGCTCTAGTGCTGCTAAGTCAGGGGTAGATAAATATTTTCAGCCTGTCCCCCCGCCTTTCCTTTCCCATTCTGTTCTGCCTGGGGGGCACAGCAGATATGGCCTGTCAAGTTGTGATTTCATCAGAGTGGATGGTGCTAAACATGTTGGACCATTTTTTTCATTGGACAGATTAAGGAGAAAAATTGGAGTCTCAAGCTTCATGGAGGCCTAAGGCCCTAGAGCTGTCCCTTAAAAGAATCAAAATGAAAAACTGCCCAAAAATGTTTAGCCCTATCCAAGCTGGATGCTTTAAATGGGATGTTGGGAGCCTTTTGTAGCTCATGTGGATGACCATTCCTGTGCTAAGCAGACTCTAGGGCTTGAAGGGCCTCCTAACACCATTACTAGTTTCTTGGACCAAGATGCTTCAGAAAGCTACAACCACCTTTGCGTTCTTCATTTACCAGAGAAACTGGAAAGGCATTAAGATCATCCAAAGCTGTCAAATTACCCAGCTTCTCCAATGTACATTTTCCAAGGCAATCTCTTAGAGAAACATTTACTTTTCATGTGATAAATAGGGCCACTGTGATTTTTCTCATCAACTTTTGATTAATAATTTAGAGTGGCGCAAAAACAGATCAGTTACGGACTCCTGTTATTGTATTCCTGTGCAATACCTAGAGTTTGAGGTAGAGGGACAAGGATGTGAAGAGTTATAATCCTAAAGAAGAATTATAATTCACCAGAGGAGGAAAATTCTGAAAATGCAACATAATCTCCAGGCCTCATTCAACATTATGTGAATGAACTTATATTCACCCCATGAGAGTCTCTCTTGCCGTCTGCTCCTGGGATTCCTCCAAATATTTGAATTAGATTTGGAGAATGTGCAGGGATTAAAGAGGGAAGAGTATTCTGTTCCATCAATGGATGCAACTGAATGCAATGCTTGGAAAGCATTGGGATTTATTCTACAGGTGGTCCTCATTTAATGACCACTTGTTCAGTGACTGTTTGAACTTACAATGGCGCTGAACGAGTGGTTCTCATATTTATGTCCGTTGCAGTGTCCCTGTGGTCATATGATTGTGATCCAGGTACTTGGTGTCTGCCTTGCAGTTTCAACGCTGCAGTGTCCCAGTGTCACGTGATTGCCATTTGTGGCCTTCTTTGCTGGTTTCCTACAAGCAAAGTCAGTGGAGCAGCCGGCAGGGGGTCGCAAATGGCAACCCCGTGATGTCCTCACAATGATCCACGGTGATTTGCTTTAACAATGGCAACCAGAGGTGCCAGAATTTCCATTGCTAAGAGGTGTAGTCACGTATGTCGCGCTTTATGACTGCATCTTTTAGCAATGGAAATTCTGGTCCCAATTTCCATCATTAAGTGAGGACTACCTGTAAGTATATATGCTGATAATTAGCAATTATTCAGTTTTTTAGAACTCATTGTTTTACTTCTGGTTACTTGAGGGACCATCTTCATCCCATAACCCGCACATTCCAGGTTCCTTCGATTAAACCAGTGTTGTCCAAACTTGGCCACTTTAAGATGAGTGGACTTCAACTCCCAGAATTCCCCAGCC